CTTTTTCCCTGTAAAATATGAAACAAAGACGCAAACCAAAGCATACACATGTGTGGGTGATTGACTTGTGTGCCTCTTGGTGCCTTATCCCGGGCACCTGCTTGCATAGCTGTGGCACCAGAGGTCCCTTTGGGATTTCACATGCTGCAAAGGCATGTTATGTTATGGCATCGCGAAAATCCCCATGCTAAGCTAGAGAGCAGGCAGTGTTGGACATGAAGAGAGGATGGAGAAGGGGAAGATAAAAGGGAAGAGGAAGGGGAAGGGAAAGGGAAAGAGCTTTTGGATGCCATTTGAGATAAGATGGCTGGGTAGAGATATCATGAAAGTATCTCAGAAGAAGGAGAGCAGAGCTGGTGAGAGACCAGTAATGCTGTGACAGGAAGCCAGTGCCATCTGAGAGCTCAGGGAAGGAAGTATAAGGGCTGTAAGGTCTTGAGCCCAATGCTTTTCCTTGTGGAAAAGAATTTCTCTTCCTTAATGGTGTAACATCCACCTTCCTGCCTGGGCTTTAGGCAGTGCCTGTGCAACAAAATGATCTTTGCAGGGAGAATTATAGATGGTCTCATCTGATATGTGCAAAGCAAGAACAAGGCATGTGCTAAAGGTAAGGAGCCATGTAGGGGTTTGACATCTCCCATGAACACAAATGCTTGATGCTGAAATGAAATGGGAGCTCACAGGTGGGTTGCTGCGATAGAGGACAGGGGAAGCACCAGTCCTGCTCCAGGTGTGGGTCAGCCCATGAGCGCCGAGCACAGTTAGCAGAGCATGTGATGCTCTGTACCACCTGCTGTGGAGTCAGAAACCCGGATTGCCGGCTGTTAGGAAATGCACCCGCAGTAATGCTAGAATCAGCCAGCCTGTGAATAAGATCTCCAGCTCCTCATCCTCCACTGACAACACGGCATGCATATCGTTGGGGGATTCATCTCAGCTGCTTAATCATGTTTGATTTCCTGGGCTGAGGTGCAGCTTGATTCTCCAGGATATGTGCCCAGCTATATTCTGTTCTTGATGTGGTTTGCTCCCTCGATTTCTTTCAGTGGGTTGGTTTAGAGCAGGGATAAAGAGAAAACAGATTCTATTCCATTAACATCAGGTTTTGTTTAAACAGCAAGTTTAATTGCAATCTAATTTAAATTTGCTTGTGTCTGGTAGAGACTCGGGATGCCTGGCTAGGCTTGAAGGCTAAGGGGGCAGAACAACCAAAAGGCAAGGGCTGGCTTACTAACAAACCTCCAGATGCCTCCAGAGAGGGAACATATGTCCTCTCTCTCTCCTTGCAAGGAACAGACTCCTTGCTTTTACAGCCCCATGCAACAGCAGCTCAGCCAGAGCCACTCACCCTCAGAGTCCATCCTTGGCTGCTCAGGAAGCTTCTAGGTCTGTGTAGACAAAACTTGGTCTTGGTCCCTTCTGCAAGCTGTGCTCCAGAGGCAAGAGGGGAATCACACCTCAGGCAGAGAGCCAAGCAGTACAGTGCCATGAGATGAACGCCACCACTTGCTGGAGATTCGCAATGTGATTTTCCCTGGGGCTGGAAAGGAGCACAGCCAACGGATCCATGACTTGTTCTCTGCATTATATCTTCTGTGCCTGTTGAACCTTCACTTCTCTTGCTCTTTTCCTCCCTGTCCATAAAGCTCAACCCTGTGGGTGCCCCAACTTTGTCTACTGCTACAACAGTACAGGCATGGGGAGCAGGTCAGATCCTTCAAACTAATACAAGCAGAAGCCCTGTTCTGAGTCTAGATGATTCAGCTGGTGATGTGTCCTGCAGCCATGCAGACTGTGACAGAGCAGCTAAGTCAGTCTCTGGTGAGCTGAGATTGACTTGACATGCTCTGCCTCCTCATAGCAATATGGGAAAGAAAACATTTGATTTAAGAAAATGTCCACCATCTAAATAACATCTGCTCTGGGCTACTTTGATTTGTGTTATAGCTGTGTGCTTATTTAACCCATAATGTAATGTGCTACAGCATTCACCGCACATGGGTATTGTCACAGCGACAGCAATATGCTACGTTTTCTGCCTGTTGAAGTGCAAAGCCTTGTCTCACAGAAGCTCAGACATGTCCTGGCTGATGGGAACGGCATCCTTTTGCATGATGGTTTAAAATAACACCTGCACATAGAGCGCAGGCTCAGCCACAAGACACACTGTGCCCTGTTGCTGCAGTTCCCTTAGAGCACAGCCAGATTTGAGACCATGTTAGGGATGTCCCAGGGTAAGGAGCAGTGGAAGGGGTAGCAGAGGTAGGGCTGCACACGGGAGGTGAAAGGAGAAATGACTAAGCACTATCAATGGTAGGAGGTGGCTGCAGTATCGATTTATTATTGCACATTTGATCCTCTGCTGCAGATTTCTGTGTCATCATTCTGCTGGGTGATTGTATCTTCACTCACTAAAAAAAGACGGCAAAAGGTTATGCTGATTTGAAACCTGACTCAGTGTTTTTAAGGCCTGACCAAAGTCAGAAGAAATGAAGGTTACCTGCATCTGAATCACTTATTGCCGTGGTTTCATCAGGCAGGGCTCTTCTCCTGTGGGGGGTGCTTGGGGCAGCTGTAATTTGAGACATTGCTGACTTGATCTGACTATCTCAGTCATAATGGTAGAAAATTGGTAGGTCTTTTCAGAGCTTGACCTTCACGAGCGTCACTATCAGAGACCTCATTTGCAGTTATCATAGACAATAATTCTCAGTGTTCAGTAGTGGATGTGCTAACACAGAATTTACTCTGCACAGCCTTGGCAAAAACCGGTTTGAGAAGCACTGATCTATAGTGTATTCCTTCCTGCTTTATGCACTTGTCGCAAGACATTACTAGCTATGGTCCTGCCTTGACTTTCTTGGGGGGGTCTCTTCCACAGTCTACCAGATTTGAGAACACAAAAGGACAAAGAAGCATTTCTCCTGGTCCATCTTCTTGCCACCTTCTATATTTAAGTCAAATTTTCTTGTAAGGGGGCTCGTCAGGGCCATTCTGGCTCATAACACGACTGAAGGAGCCCTGGGGAGCCTCGGTCATCTTGGACCTGAGTGATTCCTGGAGCCATCTATCCCCTCGCTGCTGAGATACACAACATGGCTCTTGGCTGTTTGAAGGTTTTGGTGGGTCGCTTGGTGGCTTATAGCAGAACTGGTGAAGGTAAGGAGAGTGCTCAGAGCAGCTTCTGTACAAAGGGCCAAGTACAAGGTCCAACCAGCTAGGATGGGGTTCCAGGTCCTGTCACAGAGACAGTGATGAGGTAGTAGCTATTATACTGGGGAGAATCAGATTAAAATGTCAGGTAGCAGTTTTTAGAACAATAGAAGATGCTTTTCCACGCGATTTTTCTTGCACACAGTGGTGAATGAAAAATCTGCTGAGAGCTATTGAATATGGAGATAGTATTTTTGGTCCAGGAAGTCTCTGGTATTTCTAGGGAAGTCTCACTACAGGCTTTCCTGGCATTTATATCTTCCCTAAGCATCTGTTATGGGCTGCTGTCAGAGACAGGATGCCTGGCTATGACAACCAGACAGGTTGGCTGCCTTAGGAACAGCCTGTCCCTGACGTGGGTACAACACCCTGCTTCAAAAATCACCACCTTCCCATAGCTCATTTGCAGTTCCCTGCTTGGGTGGAAGTTTTCAGCACAGAATTTAGGTTGGTGGTGGCACAGAAGCCCATCCCTCACTAAAATCTTCATACAGTTGGAATGGGATGGTTGGGGTTCAAACTTAAACAGGGGAAGTTTAGATTGGATATAAGGAGGAAGTTCTTTCCTGTGAGGGTGCTGAGGCACTGGAATGGGTTTCCCAAGGGAGTTGTGAATGCTCCATCCCTGGCAGTGTTCAAGGCCAGGCTGGACAGAGCCTTGGGTGAGATGGTCAAGTGTGAGGTGTCCCTGCCTATGGCACGGGGGGTTGGAACTAGATGATCTTAAGGTCCTTTCCAATCCAAACCATTCTATGATTCTATGAAAATACTGCTGGATCACAGTGTGGGAGTATTCCTGGTCCTAGCCTGGCCGTTCATGTGTGAATGGAACAGTGTTTTGCTAACAGGTCACTTTTTATATGTTCACATAGCCCTGGAGGCTTCAGACAGTGTAAGAAAAAGGCTTTGCCTGGTTTATTAATGGCTGCACAAGAGTCTCCAGGGCAGAGTTTGGAAATTTGCTGGGTTTTCTAGCAAAACATGTAGGTTGCTCAAAATGGCAACTTCTCACTTGCATCATCAGTGCACATGTTAGTGGTACAGATTGGTTTTCAAAATGAGACTGGTGAAGGAAGGGTCATCCTCCAACTCTTCTGGTCTTACGTTATGGAATAGAGTGTACAGGAAGAGGGAGGAGGTGTAAGAGAAAACAGCGTGCTGGGGTTTGATGGTTCTGCATCTGTGTCCAAGATATGATGGTACTCCTCAGCTGCTGGTGTCCATGTCTGGTACTGCAGAAGCGCTGCTGGATCAAGCTCCAGCCTTCCACCACCAGTGTTTAGAACCTGCTCTTTGGATGCTGCAGCTAAAGGATTTTCTTGCTGAACAAGAAAAGGTTTCCTTCTCATAAAAGGAACAGTATTTGTGTGGGCAGGAGGCTGTGACAGTGTCACAACACAGTTAGAGGGGATTTCCTTCTGTTCCCTGAAGAATCCTTGAGATTCGTGGTAGTACCTGTGATCTAAGGACCATGAAGTCTCCATGTGCTCCCCTTGATGTCTCAATGCAGGAGGTATAAAACAGTAGAGCTTGTTCAGATATGCTGTGGAGCTCTTTAACTTGCTCAGGGCTTCATTCCTCTGCTGTGGCCTTGATCTCAGAGGCAAATCCTGACCAGTAGCACAAAAAATAACCTGCTGCTTTGGGAATGCCTGGGGTGAACCTTCATGCTGGGGAGGAAAGTATTTCTACTCTCTCCCATCATGGAGGCGTCAGAGGTGAGTCAGTCTCACAGAAGACTGAGTTGTGCAGCCATAAAGGTGTAAGCAATATGGTTTTCATTACAGATGAATACTCTTCCCCAGGGAGCAACATTAGTGCTTTAAAGAACTGAGAACTGCTCTTGATGCTGTTTCACTTTGATTTCTGCTCCTGGCTCCCAGAGCTCAGGACTGTTGCTTACTTCACAAAGGTTTTATTTCGGAGGAGCAACAGGACAATAACTAATTCCATAGGTTATCTAGAAATAACTTCCCTTTAGCAAGAAGACAAATTGCAACCAGGAAAGACTCAATCACTCGGGAAACTGTGTGTGCTGTGGTGTAAACCCAAACTCTCCTGTACCATCATGGTTTTGGATTCAGAGGGGCAGTTTGGTGCACGCAAACACAGATTTGGCATCGGTACCACATCCCTTCTAACATGATGGTTTTTCATGGACTTCTCTGACATCTCTCTTCTTCACAGACTCTTGAGATTGAATTGACATCCCCAGCTTCTCTCACCAATCCCCTGCATTTTGGGTCTCCTAAAATATGGGCTTCTGAAGACGAGATGAGCTGCTCCACTGCCAACAGCAGGTTCTGGTATTGCCCAAGGAGCAGCAGCAGGGAAAGAGCTCGCACTCTGTTAAACTGCTTTTAGACCAGCACCTACACAAAGTCCTGCACACGTTACTCTGCCACTCACAGAAGCATAGCAGTGCCAGTAAAGCAGAGGATGTTTAAGACAAGTGACATGATACCTATGAACCAAGGCAATATTCTTCTGCAAGTGGCTGCTGACAGCCTCAACTGGCAGCCAGGCTGCATCTCAAGTCATTTATATCTGATTTCTTGGCAGGGTGGAAAAGGTAAACCTTGTTTTCTTTAAAGTTAAAAGGGCTTTTTCTCTTTTTTATTTAATTTGACAAGGAGGAAATAAGCTCCATGTAGCCAGTGGAAAACCTGCTTTAAATGTCAAAGCATCTACAAACATGAAGTGAACACCTAAAAGCCAAAACATGTGCTGATGCTCTTTTTCCACTACACTTGGCCATCAAGCTGACCAGCATCAGTTCACTGACATTCAGCATTCTCAGATATCTCAGAGCTGTTTACGAGTGCCCACGGATGTCCATTTGATTGACGAGTGAACAGCAGCCAAGCCAGAGAAGCTCTTATGAGTATGAACTGTTCCCTTCTCCTGCTCAGAGCTCCTCCTAAGAGAATTAGTCTTTAAAATGTTCCCTTTCTGAAAACAGAGAGGAGGGGGAGAGGACTTTGGGGGTCATGAATGAAGAGGAAGCCAGTTTCAGTTGTTCCTATGCATCACTGATTTGAGTTTTCACCATCATTGGTTGCACAGGGCCATGAAGAGGATTGCTGGGTGAGCTGAGCACAGATGAGCTGGTGGAGCAGTGCTGACAAATGCCCTGTGTAAATGCGACGGCTGATCTGCACAGGGACATGTGAGCCAAGGAGGGAGCTGTGAGCGGATTGCTTTGGACAGTCCAGTGCTCTCTTCCCCACAACTTCTGCAAGGGTCTGGGAAATGAGGTGAGTGAGGCACAGAGGGTGGCATGGGCAGGGATGTGGGCTCATGTTGGTGGCAGCAGCATAACCCAAACTGGTGAGCAGAGTGTTCATCCCACTGCCTTTGCAAGCATAGAGTCACAGAATGGTTTGGGTTGGAAGAGACCTTAAAGCTCATCCAGTTCCAGCCCCCTGCCGCGGGCAGGGACACCTTCCACTAGAGCAGCTTGCTCCAAGCCCCGTCCAACCTGGCCTTGAACAGTGCCAGGATGGGGCAGCCACAGCTTCTCTGGGCTGGGCTTGTGACACCTCCTCAGCACCCTTACAGTAAAGAACTTCATCCTTATGTCTAATCTAAATCTCCCCTTGGTCAGTTTAAGGCCATTTCCTCTTGTCCTGTCCCTACAGACCCTTGTAAAAAGTCCCTTTTCAGATTTCTTGTGACCCCTTTAGGAACTGGAAGTTGCTCCTAAGATCTTCCCAGGGCCTTTTGTTCTCCAGGCTGAACAACCCCAGCTCTCTCAGCCTGTCTCCATAGGAATGGTGCTCCAGCTCTCGGAGCATCTTCATGGCCTCTTCTGGACTTCACTCCAATGAGTGCAATGGGTCTGCTTCCTCTGACCAGCAAACCATGGTGAGCTACCCAAGCACACATGTGGCAGCTGGTCCTCTGCTGTCAGGCTCATCGTCCCTGGCCTCCCTCCATCCACAGGTACCTGGTACCTCACAAGTCACAGCCCAGACTCACAGCCCAGCTGGGTGGCTACGGAGGGTAAAGAGGATAGGTCTCTACTTCTTCCCATAAGTCAAACACTTTCTGAACGTGCCACTGCAACAGGAAACCTGGCTTTGTCTTTGCAAATGCTGTGGTGCTACATGATGCCTCTGAGCCCTCCTGCTCTTTGCTCCCCATGGCCCAAGTGCTCTGGGGTGGAAATGCACTAGCAGTTCAAGCTGCTGCCATGAAGAGCCGGGTGAGACCTCATCAAACTCCCCCTGGTTATTTACAGAGGAAACAAGAGGCTCCTTAAGCCTCTAGGCATAAGAACTGAAAGTTGTTTGGTACACACCTGCTGCTGTGTTTAATGCTGCTCTGAGAAAATCCTTACCTGCACGAAGATGCAAACGAGCACTCAGCTCATCACAGCAGCTCCTGCCTGGAGTCAGCTCCCCTCCTGCACTGGGAATGCAGGTAAAGCATGGCAAGGAGCCAAGCTGGCTTCCTAGCAAGGATGGGGAAGGAGAGGACTAGATGAGGAAGAGGTGAAGAGGAGCAGGCTCAAAGTCCTGCCAACACGGCAGGAGTCGGTCTGGCTGGGATGGGTTTTGTGCTCCTGGGGAAGGTTTTGGCCTGACAGCACAGTTTGCTGCAGACATGTGATGGATTTACTTTGTTAAGGGAAGAAACAGGTTTGCTCAGGTCCCTCCTGCCCCTGGCTTCCACTCTCAGTGACACTGGGAAAGATGAAGCCATTGCCCACTGAAAAGGCCATGGGGTAATTTCAGTCCCTTGCAAGTTGGCTGTTGGCTCTCCACACTGCATCAGCTCCCTGGGAACACCACCTGTCAGGAGCCCATATCAGAGGAATAAAATACACAAAGCTGTTTGAAAATGATGCTGCTGGTGGGGCTGGGGTCAAAGCCCATCACTTTGGTCACACCAAACTTCTTTGTGACTTCTTCCCATGCTGCTTTCTTTAGCACTGACTCACTTTTGAAGTGCATCCTCCCCATCCCTCATCTCTCTTACCTAGGATGGCAGCTCCTACCTTCCTGGTTGGCAATCCCATTACTCGGATGTTAAATCCTTAAACTAGCAATACATGACTTCTCTCCCAAGGTGTCTAATGCTCTGCAGTGAGTCTGCCGATTCTTACTGCCTGGTAAGAACATCTGGGACATCTGTGTGTTGTCTTTTCTGTCCTCAATTGTAAACCTATTGAGACAGAGGCTTTATGTTTCTTCTGCACCTGGAAAGCCTCAGGGCAGATGCTCCCCAGCTGAATTCAGGCTCTATATCTGCTACAGGTGATGTATATTTCATGGCAGGGGAGTTGGTTGGCTTCTTGAGGAAGTCTCCTCCCGGCAGTAAAGGCCAAGCTCTCGTTACCTTACAGCAAGTAATCAGGCAAGTAAATGAATCTGAAGTTTCAGCTTCTAACCAGAGGATTTCCTGAGGGAGGATAGCCCTGTTTTCCTATAGCCATCATCTCTCCTTCCTAAAAAAGAGACAAAAACATTGTCTTAAAGGTGGATGGGTTGTACAAGAGTGACAAAAAAATAATCTTGTGCTTAATTTCTCCTAATCGTATGGAGTGAAAAGGGGAATCCCTTTGAAGGAGGCTGGGTGAAGAGTGAGGGCAGCAATGCTGCGCTATAGATGTCAGAGGGTCTGGGAGTCATGTAAACTCGGAGCGCAAAGCTCTGCTCTGCAGCATTGACCTCCTCCTCTGCTCCCTCTTTAGAGCTGCCCAGGCTGCTCCCTATCAGCAACCACCCAACTGAAAGTGCAGCATCACAGCATTTACCTGCTCTCAGCATTGCACCATCTCAGCCCTCCGGCACATCGAGGTGCCCAGCTCTCGTGAGTGAGCACAGCCGCGATCTCAGGGTGCCCCTGGATCCCAATGGGAAAGCCGGCTGCAGGGTGACATTGCTAGAAGGGCACTAGCCTGGTTTCAGTGTCCTGGTTTTATTTGTTTGTCCAGTGGTTCCGCCCTGCACCTCACCCCACCCCGTGGTTAGCGCAGTGTTAATTACGGGCCATTCCAGTGGGGATTGCGTTAGGCTGAGCTAGGTACAGATTAGAGGGGTGCAGGTCACTCTGCCAGGGCAGGGGAGCCGTGGTTAGTAGGACACGGTGACACACTGCCCCAGGCAGTGCCCGGCAGGATTCAGCAGGGCTGTGGTACTGAGCTGTGACAGGCAGTGCTGGCAAAGCTGGGGGTGGCCAGAGAGCACTGGGTACGTGTGGTCCTTGCACGGGCTGCAGCGAGCAGCACCAACGCGGGCTGTTATAAAATCAGCCCTGGGATGTACTTGTTTAAACAAGCCTCAAGGGCACAGCTTTCCTAGAAGCTTCTAAATAAAACCGATCTCCCCTTACCAAGGCAACCTAGCTGCATGACAGTGATGCTTTTGTGGCTAAAACCCAGGACAGGGGTTCATGGTACCATCCCTGCCACTGCTGCGCTTTGCACGACCTCAGGCACACCGCTGAGTCTCTCTGTGCATCAGCCTCCGCATGGGTCTGGTTACAGGAGCCTACAGAGTATCTGGGGCTCCCCAAGGGGAAGGTGTCCCATGTGTAGTCAGAGAGGCAGCTAGTAAAGGTCCTTATCTGTTCCTTGGCTTATTTTCCCCTTCACAACACTGGCTCTAGCTGGCAGACAGATGCAGCACTGCCCATCTCTGTGAGCTGTGCATCCCTTTCTCTGGGTCTGGCGTCCCACAGCCTTTTCCCCTGCCTGGGGGATCACTGAGAGAGTGAATCTGGCTTCACAGCTCACCGCACAGCAACCGTAAAGCTCTTTCTGTTCTTTCAGAAGCTAATGTGAAAAATGATGATAGGCTAAATCTAGATCTATGCAGCAATTATGTGGGATTCCAGACCTTGCACCTGTAGCATAATACATAACAGAGCCAGATAACTACCTCGTCTAATGATTGCTCTGAACAGCATACAAATCACATTATGCAGGGTGAGCTGAAAGCCATTTTTCAGTGGAAGCTGATGAGCTTGGGAAGACTTCCTTTGCCCAGCTCTCTCCGACTGCAGGTTTGTCCTTTTCTCCTTGGAATCCTTCCTGTTATTTTTCTACCTTCCTGTTGCAGGATGCAACATTCATTACAATAATAGATCAAACTTTGAGTGGAAAAACTTCGCTTTATAGTTGTCTTTAAGGTTTCCCAGTTTTGTTCCTGTTTACTGATCTGCAGCCCTGACCTCTCGGCTCACCCTGCCAGGTACAGCGTTCTAATAACATGGCAAAAACAAGCCCAGTGGGCCTGGGTGCATACCCATAATTAGCAGGTAGAATGTTTTCATGGGGTGCTTTGATGGGCAAAAGATAGAACATGAAGGTTTTAATCTGCCCAGCACTTTTCAATCATTATGTGTCTGGGCCTTAACGTAATTAGGTTTTTATGCAGAGGGATAGAAGTTATCTTATTCAGTGAGCTCACGGTGGCTGAGAATAGCTGAGGCAGACCCCAGCGCATCAGGGCTGTCCTTTTGGGCAGATGTGGGTGCTTTATGCAACACAGGTGGTCAGACACTGGGACAGGTTAGAGATGCCATTGCCATCACTACTCAAAACTTGCCAGGAGAAGAACCCAAAATGCAGAATTATCCTTGCTTTGAGTGGGGTTTGAGACCTCAGGAGACCTGAGGTGTTTGGAGATGCTGTGTGCTCTGTCAGAGCTCTTGTAGCGTCACCAGTGGTTGCAGAAGGACTTGCTGCAGAAAACCTCCCTGACACGAACTTGCCATCCTGACAGTGACCAAGCTGGAGAGGGGAAGCTCAGAGCTGCACAAGGACATAACGAGGCAATGGGTGTTGATGCAGTTTGCTGAAACACACACAGAGAGCTGGGGAGGAGGAACATTGCTCTGCTGTTTCCCATCCCTTGTTGAAGTTATACTTAATACATATTTAGACGACTACTTCCAGAAGCAACTTAAAGCCTAAGTCCTGTTACCTGGAAGCAGACTTGAAGTCCTCAGCACTTAAGTCACCTCTAAAACACAAATGTGGGCACGTAGTAATGAAATTCTTCTCACCTAGTAATCATCACCCAAACATGAGGTGTAATTCCTTCTTATTGTGTAATTCCTCTTATAAAGAAGAGAAGCTCTTGTAAAAGTCAGTTCCCCTTATCCTCTTAGCCGGCATCTAAAGATGGAGTAAGTCATTCTCTGAGGTACTTTTACTTAGGGGTTTAGATAGCAAGGAAAGACCAAGCTCCTAAATATCAAACAGGCATGGGCAGAAGAGGAATCCAACACTAATGATGTAGCTTCTCTGGGAATTCAACACAAGTTTAAATTTGTGTATCAATTTCTTAACCT